TAGAAACTGTTCAGTTTGAATCACTTCGCGAGGGATTATTACATGTGCTCGTTGGAGTTATATGAATTCTTGTATATTTGTTGAGTTCTTCCGGGGTGTCAATGTTCATTCTAATAAAAAAAAAACGGTTTTTAAAGAAGCCGAGAAGAAGTGCAGGGTCTGCGGCCTCCAGGTGTTCAGACTCCAGGCTCATCGCCATAGTCTGCTCGGATTCTATATGTGCGACAAGTGGGATAGGGGGACGGGAATAAGAGAGTACGACAGTGAGATAGATAGAGCCACAGCGAAAAGACCCCTCGTAAGTCGTTAGACAATCGTTTCGGAAAAATCGGGACGGAATTTGCAGCCGCGTCCGCCAGTCGCTGTGCTAAAGTGCTGTATGTACGTAAGGCACGTCGAACTACTACATTCATTATACAAGGGGCAGGGACGGACCGGTAGACTCTTTCTTGTTAGCTGCTTGGGACATCGTGGCTTTCACTCATTTTCCGTAGCTTCCTTTTGTGCATCCAAATGCCTTTGCGGTTGAGTTTGTTCAAAAAAGCTTGATTTTTAGCCTTCGAATAGGGCGATTGCGCCGCATTGGTCAAATAATGTTGGTATCAGTCTCGGAGGCTGAGCAGAGAAAGCCAGACATTTCCACCACTTTTTGAGAAGTTACAGAACAACGGCTACTTGTAAAAATTTTACCGCAGATGACGACTGAACAATTAGAAGATTATTGTCAACATATTCCCGTTTGAATTTGCGGAGAGGCATTGGTAATTGGTTTCGTTATGTGTATGTGATTTGTGAAACCTCACCATCGTAGGTCAGTCAAATTTTTTCATCGAGTTTCGAATATTCGGTCTGGTGCGTAAAAATCGGGGCTTGTTTACCTTATATGGACCAGACTCGCTTGCGACTAATTGTAGTTGTGGATCGATTCATAAATTTACCGAATTAAGGCAAATGATTAGTGCTGGTAGATAGCCCCTAGGTCTAATCGACTTAATGAAACTTTTGAGTTCTCTCATTAGCAGCTACCGCAAATACCTGCACTCAGGATGCTTGTACATCAGTTTTATTTTGGACCTCGGAGCCTTTCGATTAGATATTCTGTAGGAATCTGGACGCTATGCAAGAGAAAGGGGCTCTTCTTCTTCTTCTTATTCTTTAGCGTCTGTCCCGCTTGTAGGCGGGGTCCGCTTTTCTGATGTGTTGACGCCACTTCTCCCGATTGAATGCTTGATCGGGGTGGATGTTAACGCTCTTCAAGTCTTCGTGCAACGTGTCGAGCCATCGCTGCTTCGGACGTCCTCTAGGCCGCTTTCCGGGCACGTCAAGGTTGAGACCGATCTTACAGACACTGTCATCTTTCGCGCGAAGGACATGACCATACCATCGAAGACGGGCTTCGCGCATCTTGTCGACAATTGGAGCCACCCCGAATCGCTCTCTGATGACATCGTTTCGGATGTGGTCTACTCGTGTGACTCCGGCTGTCCATCGCAGCATCTTGGTCTCCATCACACTTAGCCGTGCTTCGATCTCTTTAGTCGTAGGCCAGCACTCAGCACCGTAAATCGCGACCGGCCGGATGACGGTCCTATAGATCTTAGATTTGAGACGTTCTGGCATGTTTTTATCGCAGAGAACGCCAGTCATCGAGCGCCATTTCGACCAGGCTGCATTCACGCGAGAATTCGTTTCGAAGACCAGGCTGCCGTCAGACGCGATTGCTGATCCAAGATACTTGAATGATGTTGCACGAGTGAGTTCAGTACCATTGATCTTAATAGAGCCTAACTCACTCGAATCGGTGGTCAAGTACTCAGTCTTCTTAACGTTCAGCTTGAGCCCGAACATAGCTAGACGATCGGACCAGGCTTGTACCTGTTGCTGCGAGCGTGTTTTATTCTTCGCTAGCGAGCATCACGTCATCAGCATAAAGAAGTGTCCATGGAGCCGGCTTCTGGAGATCTCTCGTAATGGCATCCATGACGACAACAAATAGGAGTGGGGATAACGCAGAGCCTTGATGTACCCCGACAGAGATGGGAAAATCCATCGATGTTCCTGCTGCCGTTTGCACTCGGCTCTTTGGACTCGAGTAAAGGATGCGCACCCACTCGACGAGCTCTTCAGGCACGCCATGCTGTCGTAAGGCATACCATATAACGTCCGCGGAACGCGGTCGAATGCCTTCTCCAAATCTAGGAAGGCAAGGTGCACCGGTCTTTGTTTCTCGCGATGCTTTTCTAGCAGAAGGCGAGCGGCGTGTATGGCATCGATAGTGCTGCAACTAGCCACAAAACCACACTGGTTGGTGGTCAGCTCGACGATGTCCCGGATACGGCTATCTACAACTCGCTCAAAGATTTTCATGCTGTGCGAAAGCAGGCGAATTGGACGATAGCTAGTGCAGTCTCCTGGATTGCCCTTCTTCTTCCAGATAGGAATCGTCGTGCTTTGTTGCCAGCTTTCAGGCACCTTCTTCTCTGCAACGATCTGGTTGAAGAACTCCGTCAACCATTCTGCAGGATTCCAGCATTTGATTTCCACAAGTCCGCCGCTAAGTCGTCAGGACCAGTTGCTTTGCCTGATTTCATCTTCTTCATGGCCGTGATGGTCTCCTCCATGGTTATCTTCTGAACGGGACCGTGTACTGGCGGAGCGCAGGGGATGGCGGGATGAGTAAATTCGACTGTTGAGATGTTTTCGAAGTAGTCACGCCATCGTTTCAGTGTTTTCTTGCGGTCCGTCAAGAGGTGGCCATTCTCGTCATTTATGCCGAAGAATTTTTCTATATCCTCGGTCTGGCGATGGCGGGTCTTTGCAAGTCGGTAAACGTACCGCTCTCCATCGCGCGACTCGAGTTTCTTACTGATATCAGCAAAATGAGCTGCTTTCGCAGAAGCAACGGCCTTCTTTGCCTCTTTCTTCGCTATCTGATAGCTCCGCCAGTTCTCAGCTGTCTTTTCGTGAAGAAATGCGTGGTACCGCTTCTTCTTTTCGCGCACTTTCTCTCTGACCTGGTCCGTCCACAGCCACGTTTGCTTGTCAATTCTCCGCCGTCCCCGGCTTCGTCATCCCGAGCTCGGATCGAGCTATCCGAGTTATTTCTTCGGCAGCACCTTTCCAGGTTTCGTCGACAGTCGTTACCGCTGGTAATTGAATGCGGGAAACGACGGCCGCTTCTTTTTCCTTCAGTCGCCACCACTTGATTCTCGCTGGCCCACACCTTTCGGTTAGTTTCGGTTTCGGCGGGGCGATCTTTAGCGTACAAATTAGTGGTCGGTGTTGCGTGGCGACCGTTTCATAAGGCACTGTTTTCGCGTCTGTTACGAGCCCTTGGTCGCGGCGCCTGACAAGTACGAAATCAATTTGTGTTCTGGTGTTACCGCTATAGAAGGTGATGAGATGTGAGTCGCGTTTTCGGAATTTCGTGTTCACAATGGCGAGGTTGTGCGAGTCTGCATACTCGAGAATTCGCTCGCCATCGGTGTTACGTAACCCATATCCAAAACCACCGTGACAGCTGTAACCGTCTTTCGTAGCGCCAACGTGCCCATTGAGAGTCACCTGCGACAATTATAGCTTCTTGTGACGGAACCTCAGCTGTCTTCTCATCAAGCAGATTCCAGAACTTATCTTTGGCTTGTTCGGAGCATCCGGTCTGCGGAGCGCCCTCGGGCGTCCCCCCCCTACGCTGAGAAGAAGTGGTATTTTCGTTGTTCAATGACGACAATGATTTTCATTAATCGGTCGTCGAAGCGCTCCACGTTTACTATCGAATCACGAAAGCGTTCAGAGACAATCATCCCGACGCCATTGGTGGTTTTGGGACCGCCACAGAGAACGGCTTTGAAGCCGCGGCCAATGTCCCTCGACTTGCAGCAGGACCACCTCGTTTCCTGCACGGCACAGAAGTCTATTCGTCGGCGCTCTAGCGCTTCTGCCAGCTCGCTGGAGCGGCCCGTCAACGTGCCAACATTTAATGTTGCAACGCGGGTCTTCGATACGTTGCATGGCTTTTGGACTAGCCTAGTTGCCCCCCGATGCCGTCCTTGCACCGGAGACCCTCGCATACTTTTCACACTCGCCGGGCTTTGCGAGTGCGCGTCGGCTCCCGCGGACGCCGTAGCATTATCTCGAAATTCATATGGCGACATGACATTTGATGTAATGTATGGTGTACGTAGGCCGGCCTGTGGGACTAAGCCTAGAAGGGACAGGAACATCGGGGGGGGGGGGACGAAAATTGTCGAGCACACAGGATTCTCTCCTCACCCGCCTGATGGAAGGCTTAATCCTGTTTTCAACAAAGGGAGTTGTTTTACATGGTATTGGATGCGTTTCCAAAGGGAAATCTGACTTAAGAAGTAATAAAATAAGTATAAACATAAATAAGTTACAAGTAATAAACGATCTAACGCGATTTCCCTCAGTTTATTTTAGTAAGCTCATGTTTAGCTAGCCAATTACTTTCCTGAACAATCAACTTGTGGATTGCAAAGCTTGTTTATTCCCATAACTAATCTCAGCAATAGAATTGTTTTTTCCAAGAAGCCATTCGAATTTTCGATCTATTAACTATTTCACACGCTATCTGAGGCATAAACTCACTGAGGGATACGGTATAATCCCTCGATGGCGGTTAATTACACAACAACTGATCGCTAATTACAGCCATACGGCCGGATTGGGCACCATGCACTTCATGGAGCAGGACACTTCTAATCAAGTGGGTTTTTCTGCCTGGATCTAATTTCTCTGAAGTCTTTTGAGTACAAGATTTTCGCTGGAGGATCCATTTCATCGTCGGAATCATGCAGGATTTTGGAGTGCTGGTGTTTACTGTGTAATCCAATGTCGTGGCCATGGCGGGGTGGTGTCGCGGGAGGCAAGGCGGTCTGCGGGGAGACGGAGAGAACCCGTACGCAGGTGTGCTGGCGACTTTCCCATGGATATGATTGCTGTTAGACAGAAAGGAATAATGGATAGTGTCAGTGTTACTAATGGCGTTCAACATCTCTACACTTCTCGCTTCAGCTGATGAAGACGTTCGACCGTCGCAGGACGAATCGCAACTGTCGGCGACAGATGAAGACCGAGCTGATGAACTGCCCGAATGGTCTCGCCTCAGCGCTACGGATCGCCAAGGAGGTGAGGATTTATCGGGCATTCCAAAAGGCCATGCTAACAAGGAATGGTCAATTGGTCGGTCCGGCCGTTTGTAATGAGGTGTAGTTTGATGCACGCGTCTTGCGACGCTGAGCTCAAATCCGTTTTCGGTTTTTGCCGAACGATTCTCTGAACGAAGTTATGAGGGATTCTTCTCACTGCGGCTATCTCACTGTGGCGACCTCTACACCCCCCCCCCCCATCCCACTTATCACACATAAGAAGAATCGCGGAGCATTTCGCGGTTCTTTCAAGGTTGCTCATACGAGCCCAGAAAGCGCTATACTGTTATTTTGTTATCGTTCTGTTCTGTTTTTACGAGCCAAGTGGGATAGGGGGATGTAGAGGGCACCACAGTGAGATAGCCACAGTGAGAAGAATCCCTCATAACTTCGCTCAGAGAATCGTTCGGCAAAAACCGAAAACGGATTTGAGCTCAGCGTCACAAGACGCGTGTAGCGGACTACACCTCATTGCAAACGGCCGGACCGACCAATATGACCATTCCTTGTAAGTTCTCTTATATTGGTAGTTCTAGAACTACTTCATTCTTTGCCCAAAGAACTTCCTAATTCTGCAGATGAAAACATACTCCAGTAAGAAAATGAAACATACTCAGTAAATAAAGGTAAAGATAAAGCATCTGCCTGTTGACATTCGTAGTGGCGTTTCAATGCGATGTGGCCTATACAATGACTTGCGGGGGCCAGCCGATGTACAAGTCAGTGTTTTTATCCTCCCAGACAAGTCTGGTACCAATTAACCGACCCCGGAGGGATGGAAGGCTTGGTTGGCCCGGGCGACACCCAGGATTTGATCCCCGGACCGCTCGCGTGGTAAGCGTGCCACTTGCCACTACACCACTTCCGCCTTTTCAGGATAATTAGTAAATAGTAGTTAAGTTTTGTTCACAAGCATTCTTGTGAAACATTTGCAAGGCGAACTGCGACCAGCTCGGCAGCAGTTACCAACAAAAACAGGGATTCGTGAAAGTCTTTCCATAGACGATCCTCTAGAATCAAACGCCTCCTCTAACTTTTACGGTAGCTAACGATTCGGGGCGATTCGGGGGGGGGTAAGAGATTGAATCACGGGGAATCGCCTCATTATCGGGCACTGTTTTCACACCTTTATTGTCGATTTCACGAGAGATTTCAAATAGGTATTAGGGCTGTGAGTCACGTTCTCACCGATCTATTTCAAATTGCCTCTTTCTAAGGAATCATTAGAGTTAATCAACGTCGAAGCGATAAACCCGTGGGATCTAAAACCTGTTTACTTGAAGAATAGAATGGAACATATGTTGGATTTCTGCACTTTTGTGATAGTTTGTACCTTTCTCTCAATACGGAAGTGTTCAGTCGGGCTTTATTTTTCCTCTGGTGCATTCGAACGGGCATTTCACTAAATTTATCAGTAAAATTTGAGATTTAACGGTAGCTGTCCCTGAGCATTTATAACAAGTCAAGAAAAAACAAAGCATCCCGCCTAATCGATCCTTTTCCGGAGTGCGCCACGCATTCCGCCTCCATTCAGGATTGCAGCGGTGTTTTGAAAGAATTGCCAGGTGCAAAGACCTCGCCGGGTCAGCCGATGGACCGACAGATTTGTCCTCTGGATAGGTATGGTACCATTAAATCTCCGCAGAATGTGGCTCGACGGGGGCAGTCGCCGCCGCGGCGTCTAGCATGTTCGCATACCTCTGTGCAGCGAGAAATCCGTGAGCCAAGGGCAGTGTAGCCAGTCTAGGGGGTCAGGGCAGCCACGACATGCATGATGATTAAGTGATAAGGCTCGCGTTATATACTATGTCGCACATGCGTGCGCCGCCCCCGCCCCAACCCCCTTCAGCCAAATTTAGCAAATCTCTCGGAAAATCGGTTGAAGCTGATCCAAGGAGACCGACTGCTTCGAACAAGCTGACCCTCCACCAAACACGCGTCAGCAGAGAACAGGACATTCCAGGTATATTTCATAACATGCCTTAATAAAGCCCTTTACAGAGGTACCACAATGGAATAGCATGGCTTCAAGTCAGCTTGCAATGTACGCGATTGCACATAACATCAAAACTCCGTCATTGGTGATTGACAGAGAGTTGGGCTGGGAGTACGTTGCTAGTGCGAATAATTATACTGTCGCTGAAAATACCGGTGTTATAGCCCGGAAGCACGACTACCGAAGATCGCGAAAAGCTCTTGGCGATCGTAAACCTCGTCAGGCTTATACATCACAACAACTGGAGAAGTTGGAGTGCGAGTTTCAGGTGAGGCCCAATTATCCACTACTGGAAGCAGCAGCTGTCTTAGTGCGTCTGGTAATCAATGAACGCCTATCAAATCAAAAGAAATTCCTGATCGCAGCGGAGGTGGCGCAGAGATCAGCGCCGCGGTCCTGTATCCACACCCGGGCAATTAATCACATTAAAGCTGAAGTTTGTAACTCTGAATGTGGAGCTGGGTTTAGGTATGAGACAGCCCGTCGACTTGTATTTGTCTGTCACAAAGGAAATTGTAAAGGGCTAATACGTACTCAAACGGATGCCACTGCAGATGCGAGTGAACGTTAGTCGAGTGCACGGCGCATCTAGAAGAGGATTGATCGACGCTGAGGGCCCATCTGCCACAGATTAGCGGTCAAGTTCGGCTCTCAGTGAATTAGCATTTCTTTCCATAAATATGTCAGATCCACGGATCTCTTTCACTGAGGGTCCTCTCTCACTGAAAGATCTCGAGCCGGTTGGTGGCGAGGCTACGTGGCGCGACCCCAGGTGGCGGATAGGGGGTAAATCGCGGACCAAAAGCCACCATGTACTTGCCCTGAGACGCAGGTGGATTCAGGGGATGGACTCCCTGTTTCTGTAGTGCTGTGTTGATTCATACCAGCTGTCTCCACTCAGGCGCATCCATGCATGCTTGCGTGTGTGGTGCGCTCTGTGTGTGTGCGGTTGGTATCCTGCATGTCGGCACAGCCAAAAGCTTGCATTCAAGTGACTGGGAAGTACATGGGAGGCGATTCGGGGCCGCCTCCAAGAAATAAGCCCCTTGTTCCGCTCCAGGATAGCGTGGCTAACTACCTGGAGGTCTATCCTAGCCCGCACGACAGAGCCTGGCAAGCTACTCGTGTGCCTTCAATATGCCGAAAACAGCAATATGGATGGGCCTCATTCCCCTGAACCTGAGGGAGCCCCCAATACGGCAGCGTTGGGTAGGACCGCTCGGGAGAGGCTGCTAGAATCTCAGGGCCCGGATAGGCTGCCTAAACGAAGAAGGACTAAGATGGCGATCTGTACTTTCAACGCACGAACGCTTGCATCCGAAGCTCACATCGAAGATCTGATGATGCAGGCCAGGAAGATCAAGTACGACGTCATCGGACTGACCGAGACGAGAAGGCACCGCCCTACACGCCGTTTTCGATACTGGAGAAGAACTGTTCCTTGGAACATGCGACAGCAGAGGCGTTGGCGGTGTGGGTGTCCTCGTCAACACGCACTTGGCCATAAACATCGATTCGTACGAAAGCCTTACACGACCCGAATCGGACGTTTGAGATTGAGAAGATGTGGTTCAACTCCTGCTTTGACAATCTTCGTCGCCTACGCACCAACATCCAGCTACGACGAAGAAGAACACGAAGCATTCTATATGGAATTGGAGAAGTTCTACAGGGAAGATCATACCTTCTTCAAGGTCATCGTCGGCGACTTCAACGCTAAGATTGGCCCAAGAAGAACGGCTGAAGAACTTCACATCGGTACTCACGGAATGGAATGGAATGAGCAGGGTGAGAGACTGTCGGAGTTTATCATGTCGACCAACACCATCCATGGTAACTCACAGTTCCAAAAGCCCCCTCACCTTCGTTGGACTTGGGAGTCACCTGATGGACAGTTCCATAACGAGATAGACCACATCATCTTCAATCGAAGGTTTTGCCTGACCGACGTCGCTGTTGTTCCGAAGTTCTACACGGGATCAGACCATCGTCTCCTCCGCGCAAAGTTCCACTTTTCGATGCGTGTTGAGAGAGCCTCGAAGTTCAGGAAGCGAAGCCCCAGGACAGTCATCAACTGGGATCACTTCGCTTCCCTCGTCAGCTTATGGGAGGATTCCGTCATCGAAAACATCGACGAGGAGTACTATCGGCTCGTTGAACATCTTCACGATTGTGGCAAGAAGGCAGAGAGTTTGAAAGTCACCAAGGGACGTCTGTCTCCGGAAACTCTCGAACTGATACGCCAGCGTGGAGCCGCACGAGCTGCAGGCAATCACCGACTCACGTCCGAGCTTGTTTCTGTTCGTTATCTATTTCTGAGGATGTAGCGGTGAGAGAGTTGTGTAAGCTCAAGGAGCGAAGAGCAGCAGTATTAGCTGAAGCAGCAGAGGCTGGGAGGAGCATCCGCAATGCCCGCCGAAGCTTTGCCAGCTACAAGACCAAGATGACCTGCCTCCGACGTCCGGATGGAACAGTTACTGCATCCCGAAGGGCAATGGAGAAAGTCATCCACGACTTCTACTCGGATCTCTTCGATAGCCATGTCCATCTGCCCACTTATCAACTGCAACAGGATGGATACGTCGTCCCCTCAGTTCTCTCTTCCGAAGTCCGACACGCCATCAAGTCGGTGAAGAATCGTACAGCACCCGGTCTCGACAGGGTCAAACCGGAACATCTGAAGAATGCACCGCCAGTTATCATCAAAACTCTGGCTCGACTCTTCACGCGCTACCTGTCGGAATGCAAGGTACCCACTCCGTGGAAAACCAGCAGGACCGTGTTGCTGTACAAGAAGGGAGACCTGGACGACATTGGCAACTATCGCCCAATCTGCCTGCTGTCTGTAATCTACAAGCTATTCACTCGAGTCATCCTTAACAGGATCGGCAGAATACTAGATGAAGGACAGCCATGCGAGCAAGCAGGGTTTCGAAGAGGGTTCAGCACGATCGACCATATCCACACGGTTACAAGACTCATTGAAGTTTCACGAGAGTACAAGATGCCGCTTTGTCTCACGTTCATCGACTTGAAGAAGGCCTTCGACTCTGTGGAGACAGAAGCGGTCATCGAAGCCTTGGGCAACCAGGGCGTCCCTACTCAGTACATCAAGATTCTTCGTGAGCTCTACAGCAACTTTACGACCAGAATCTCACCATTCTACAAGGAGGTCATCATCGACGTCAAGAGAGGGTTCGACAGGGCGACACCATCTCGCCCAAACTCTTCAGCGCCGCTCTCGAGAACGTCATGCGTCAACTGGAATGGGAAGACATGGGAGTGAAGGTCGACGGCCGGCAACTACACCACCTTCGTTTTGCTGACGACATCGTTCTTATAACGCCGAACATCGAGCAAGCGGAGCGAATGCTGGCTGATTTCGACTGCGCCTGTGGTAAGGTCGGTCTACAGCTGAACCTAACGAAGACGATGTTTATGAGAAACGGATTGGTTCCTGATGCCCCATTCACGCTCAACGGAACGAACATCACCGAATGCTCCAGCTACGTGTACCTAGGTCGGGAAATCAATATGATGAACGATCTAGCTCCAGAGCTGAGCAGGAGGAAACGAGCGGCTTGGGGGTTGTTTCGTTCGTTGTTTTTTTTTCATTAAGAACATCGAGGGAGTAGTGAAGAAGACGAAGAACATCCGGCTCCGTGCCCACCTCTTCGATTCCGCTGTCCTTCCTGCCCTAACCTACGCCTCAGAGACTTGGACTCTGCGCAGGCAGGACGAGCATGCGGTCAGCGTTATCCAACGCGCTGTCGAGAGGACGATGCTAGGAGTAACCCTATACACGCAAGTGCAGAGGGGAATCCGGAGTGCCGAACTACGCCAACGATCGAAGATCAGGGACGCTGCCGTTTTCGCCAAGGAATCGAAGATAAGGTGGGCCGGACACGTCATGCGATTTTGCGATGACCGTTGGACCAGAGCGGTTACCGACTGGATCCCTCGGGACGTCAAACGAACACCTGGACGACCGCCGGCCCGATGGTCAGACTTCTTCACGAAAGCTCTGAACGAAAGGAATGAAGGACATCGTGTCCCTCGAGCGAGGAGGGTCCACTGGACAACTCTTGCACGCGACAGGGACGAATGGAGACGTTGCTGGCGCCCGCTCGAGCAATTCGATGATCAACGGGACGACAGGTGATACAGGTGATTATGTCAGTAAAAATTTAGATCGGATTGTCAATACCGTTGTTGATTGCTGACCTTTCGGCGTTAGCTCCTTCTTCGAAGCCTCGCCGAAGAAGAAAAGGCATTTGTGAAAGTGCCCGTCTAAACACTATTTCAACCTGCAGAAGTCACTCAACAGGCTCAGGAAGCCACTCGTAAGCTTTACTAATTGTAGGCATGTTAGTTGTTAATAGGAAGAGTGAGACTTTAGATGTTTGAAGGCTGTGATTTGCTTCACTGTTCACTCCTAAATGTTAGAATCTTAGGTACAAGCTAACGTAAAGGCTGCCCAGCTTGTCGTATTCAGAGCAGATCAACTTCGGCAACTCATCGACCGTGTCGTCCCTCACAGGCACTCTTCGCTAATGGGCTACAAAACACGTCTCATATTTGAATCCCAATAGTTCCATACTGATATATTGCGGATTTTACCTTAAGCACCTTGAAGATGTTTAATGCTGAAGAAAATCCCGCTATTATTCTGCCTCAATCAGACGAAAATGGGCGATTTTAGTTATTATTATATTTTCGATAGACGGAGGTTGAAGTCTTATGTTCAGTGGGTTTTTGAGCTATAGATTATTACCTTTGTCAGTGTACCAGAAAAGGATTCAAGCTTATCACGCAGTCGTTAATCTGACCGCAGACCCAGATCAAACATGGGCCAGAACCGAAGGTTACGCATATTCTCTCGTCTTGCTATAGAAGATCTTAAAGTACTGTTTTCAGGATCCAAGTGGAAGAAACAGTTGACCACATCAATCCGCGAATTCTATCGTGATCGAGTTGTTAGCTCGCTGGGTGTGCTGCCGGGCCTCGAATCCTCTTTCGCATCTTCTTCACTTGCCCTCAACCCCAGTGATGTCCCATGTAATTACAAGTGATATTGAAAGAATCGTCTCTTCTTTTGAGCTGTAAATCACTACATAATATCTCGATTATCCGTGAAATAAAGAACTTCTTGTGTAGCAACTAAGTTTTCCGACCTTTGCAATATTTCTTTATTATTTGTATATGAACAGAAACTTTCGCTGAAAATGCTAAATTTTCTTTATATGAATTTGCATGGATTCAGAATCTTCAAAGCATGTATGTAGATGGTTGATGATCGTGGACGAGCCAAATAGCCTACCGTCAGCGTATCTTCTGAAGAAAGTTCTGCCATCGAAGGGAGCGGTGCCTAACTTAGTTGGGGGGGGCACGCGGCGGCGCGGCAGTCTGCTCGCCTGGCATGTTCGGAAATCCGTGGCCAGGGGGAGTGTAGCCAGTCTAGGGGGGTGGGGGTGGGGGCAGTCACTTGACATGCGTGAAAAGCTGGAATGTTCGAGTTTACACTGTCTCGCCATAAGAGAGAGCCCAGGTGAGCAGACTGCCGCGCCGCCGCGTGGCCCCCAACTAAGTTAGCACCGGGATTCGCGGCTAAAGCTTCACCACTTGTTTACCAAGTAAGTAACGCTGCTTTCATACTTTGCGCTAGTGCGGTCAGCGCGGAGAGAGGTGAAGAGCGTCAAATCACGCGCAATGGCGCATGACGCGTACTTGGCCTGCAATCGGTAGCTGCCGATCAATAATTTCAATTTCGATGTAATCTTTCCATTCTTTAATGTTTTGTGTGCTGTCCTTACTTCTTCGTGTTCTTTTTTGCTTGAAATTTTTCTTTTTTGTATAAAATAGTGTGTCTTTGCTCGATGGCCTCACGGGGCGTACGTGAATAACGCCACTCTTTCAGGGGCAACTGAAACATTGATTAGGACGAAAAAGAAGTCGAAGCCAAAAAAAAAACACGAATGAAAGCAAGACGGCGCACAAAACACCAAAAAAAAAGAGGAACACATATTGGGACTGAAATTATCGATTGGGAAGCTACTGACTGTGCGCCAAGTACGCGTCATGCGTCAGTGCGCATATATCGCGCTGCAACTATCTCCATACCGTCTGCACGGATACGATCGACGCAAACGTGAAGCCGTTTGATCTGGTGCGTCGAAGCTTTACGCCAGTTTTCGTTGCACTACGGTACGTGAATTAGAATCGTCGTTATTTGTCGAAACTTACCTACAGCATGCCTACAGTATCCGAGGGAAGAGAATCAGCTCTAAAGTCACTTGATGCGACGTGGATATAACGTCTGAATCTCTCTCCATGCAATAAGAAATAACAGCCTTGCAAGAGTAGATAAAAGAAACCAGATTGAGCACATACACTTTTCCAGAAACTTTCTTATGTATTCTTTCTTCTAGGCCTTAGCTACGTTTGGATGCTTGAGTTTCTTGTTTGAGGGCATAAGAATGGTGTCAGGATTTCAGCACTTCTGAATGTGAGGAATTGAGGAAAGTGGTGGGAAGGGCAGGTGGCGTGGCTTAGCACGCACATGTTCCATGGTCAAATCCCTGATCAAATCCTATCAAAGTCAAACTTTCCGTCCTGAGTGAGGCTATTCTATACGTAAACATTAGGCTCGACTTGGAGTACATCAGCAACGGCTCCATCGGCTGACTGTGTCGCTTTCATAGTAATTCATAGGAGACAAATCACATTCAAGTGTTACCACGTTTCTTGATGATAGTCGAATGCGTGACGCTTTCCAAAAGAGATCGGCCAACTATTGAAAGAAGGCGAGACAGCCTTGCCAGGATTGATAGTCATCCAGTAGAGAATTATTAGAGAAAAACTGCAAAATTATTGCTGTCGGCGTATCCTACCAGAATAAGCTACGCATTCGACTTCTGTTGATTGTTGTGAAGGTATGCTAGGCCCCTGCTTCAGCACTCGAGTAAATACAGCAACAAATTCATCAAACTCATTAGCATGTTATCATTGCCATCACTGATTCGATGTTCCATAGAAAGAGCTTTGTTCAGCACATTGCCGTAGCGTCACAAAAATTCACAAATTAGTCAACATCTTATACATAGTTCCCCCTTAAAAAAGTAGGTCTTCTGCAGAAGCTCCTTTTTTTGGAGAAAATTCAAGCTGTCCAATTAGGTTGGTTTGGTTAGAAATACTTCCTGACGAACACCAGCCCACAACAACACTTCACAGGTACTTGTAGTGAGTGAGTAAGTGAAGAGGAATTCTCGGTCTAGCGCCTTCAATATCGCCGTTGTACTTTGAAAGTAAACTAACAGTAGAAGAATTAGGCCAAGTTCCAGCCAGAGGTAAGCCTTCATAGAAGTACCCAACAAACCTGCTACTTTTGGAGCATAAAGCATAAAAGCATTCCGAACAGTCCCTTTTTGGATGCGCCATGCATTCTATCTCCATGGAGAATCGTAGTAGCATGTTGAATTAGATTTGTACTGTACAATAACTAGCGGGGGTCAGCCAACATACAGTGCGTTTCAAAAGTATAAAGCCACCCATGAAAACTAACTTTCCGAGTTAAGGTGAGTATTTCATGGCTTGCCATAAACTTTATTGAATTCAGCGTGTTTGGAAACCATTGTTCTCTTTATTTCAGGAAGCAAAATGATTCACATACATTTTTATAAGAAGATTTCCAAATATCCCCTGTTTCAAAAGTATAAAGCCACTTGCAACATAACTCTATTTTTCCAGAGAAAAAGTGAACATCGTAAATATTAGTAACTAGCGTGACTTCCTTTTTTAGAAGTGAGATTTAATAGACCATTTGGCATACTATCCGTGAGCTTCAGAAGTATAGCGGGATTCAGGTGGTAGGAAAACGTCTCGATGGCTGTCTGAGGTCTCCCACGTTACTGTACTGCTTTCCATACGCGTATATCTGTCGGACAATGATACCCCAGGTGTTTTTTATTGGATTTGGATCTAGGCTGCTAGCAGGCCATTCCAGTACACTGATTTTGTTGACGTAAACCCGGTGTTGAGTGGACCGGCTGCGATGGATGGTGGCGTAATCGTGCATAAAGATGAAGTTTTGCCGACGACTTCCACACAGAAACGAGAGAAGATCATTAAGAAAAGCATCCTGATTCTCACTGGGGTCCATTTGACACGAGACGAAAGACAGAGGGAGCACAGCATCGCTGTAGAATGCAGCTCAGACCATCTATGCGCGCACCCACCGAAGTCTCTCCTGCTAAATACCAGCGGATCTTTGCTAAAATCTCTCCAGAATCTGTGATGACCATCCGGCCCGTCTAAGTTGAAGTTCTTTCAACCACAGAAAATGAACTGAACACTACAAGCCATTAACTAAACGTCATGATGAAAGTGTCCTCCCTACCCCCGTAGAATCACCTACCGAACCCCAACTCGTTCGCATGTTCCTCCGGGCGAGTTCGAGACGAGGTGCTTTGTGATGCTGTTCCGGACGTGGAGTCTTCATCATGGATTGTCGCACGATATTTGGAGCAGAGTTAGCGACCCTCCAGATGGAACTTTTCGAAGCAAAAAGGGAGAGCTCGTATCGGATCTGACTGATGCCATGGAATGTCGGGCAGTAGGAATGTAAACGAGATCGTTTAATATGGCGGATATAATACTCAAGCAGAACACGTGACCTTTCAGGGATCTTTCCTTTCATGATAAGCTGGATTCCTCAAAAGAAATGTCGATACAGCTTTGAGAACGTCCAAGTTGAGCAACAATGGAGCGATTTGAATGGGCAGCTTCATGTAACGTCCTCGCACGAACGTGCTCTTCAAAAGAAAACGTAGATCCACGAGATATATTGAAGACGTAATGTGTTTGTGCTAATTATGGCCAAAGAACTGCCAAATGAGTTAACAGGAACAAAAATTTTTACCGCTGTTGCCTACTCGCCCGGGGTGGCTTTATACTTTTGAAACAGGGGAGTTTTTCAAATTTTCTTATGGAACCGTTTCTAGCTTATAGTGGTTTGTACAACAAAGTTTACTATAGTTTCAGAGCGTGCTGAATTCGATAAACTATTCATCAAATCACGGAACCTTCATTCTAACTTGGAACAGCTTCATTCAAGGGTGGCTTTATACTTTTGAAACGCACTGTATATAAATAAGTCAGTGCTCTGGAACCCCCGAAAATTCCCAACCCCAAAAATAATTCGCTACACTTCATCGACCTGGACGGTTACTGGAGGAGATTTCCACGTTATGATTGGGAGTCGCAAATGGCAAACAGATACCTAGTTCATAAGGTGTGGAACGATGGGAAAAGCAGTGAACAAGAATGTATCAGCCCCCCCTCACCCCTCCCGCCGCCCCCCCCCCCCCCATTAGTTTCAGCAGGTTATACCACGCCCGCTTGGCCCGCCCCCGCTTTAGCCCGCCTAGGACTCAGTCCGTTATGACAAGAGATCGTTAGCGAGTTCAATAATACCACCATCAAGAATTCAACTTAAAGGAATCTTCCACGGACCATGGACCAGTGGGCGGGACCGGAAGTGGTTTTGCGACGAAATGCATGGTAGGTACGGATCCACGTTCATGGGAAGGTTTGAAGTGAATCCTGTTCACGTTCGTGCGTTCGACACGTGGATCCGTACCTACCATGCATTTCGTCACAAAAACTTCCGGTCCCGCCCACTGGTCCATGGTCCGTGGAAGATTCCTTTAAGGCGCAAAAGGCCGTTCTTCTTGATTTTTCTTTATTCCTGCACCACTGACCACCTTGATTTCTAATGGACAGCCATTTCATCGTCAACTTCGCCTTCCACACAAAACGGAACCTGTGCAT